TATCGTCGCCTAATTTGTGGAAAATTGAGATTTATGGCCTGCATTTCGTTTCGTCTATCGCTTAAAGTTTGCCACCAAATTAAAGAAATCGGGTTGAGCACAAAGATTCCCTGGTAATTATGATTAATGAGCGGCTAATGACTGTTTTCGCCCTTCGTTGGCATATCAATGTCACACATCATCAGCAAATTTTGCAGCTCATCGTTGTTGCAAATTTATTAAAATTTTCTGAAAAGCAAAAAGCAATCAATACTCGATACTCTTCTTCGGTAAATACATTTAAATCCTAACATATTGCTGCTTAAAAAGGGAGCACAAACATAACGACAATTTCACGCTACAAATGTTTCGATTAAAAATTTCCTTTTTTTTGCTTTTGCCGATGTCGTTATGGGGTTGCCAATAAAGCAACCACACCCCCCAAATCCTCATTCCCCGTCAATCCACCCCGCCCCGGTCATATGTGCAAAATGTATGTACGGGCGAAAACAAAATACGGAGGAGGATAGCTAAAAGGGAATAGAGGATAGAGCTGGGAATAAGAGTAGGAAACAAGGAATCCCCGGCAGCCACTCGCCGGACTCCATTTGATATTTGCTGAAGCACGACAATGAATAATAACTACACGGAATGCATATGCTAGCAAAAAAGGACGAACCCATAGGAAATCCTAGAAGGGTTGCGAGCAGCTCGATTGCAATTTAAGGATTATCCCTTCCTCCTTTCCTTGTATTTGATATTTTTAAAAATCGTTATCACAACTACAACAAAAATATACAGAGAGAGTGTCCTGTTTTAGTTTTCAACCAAAGAAGTGAGTATTTCTTCCAAGGCATTGTCAAAAATTGTCTAAAATTAGAATGTGACTTCATAATAAAATTTCTAATCAATTGGCATTTAAACCTAAAAACTTGTGACAAATGCAAAAATTACACAAAAGATAAATTTGTTTAATTATACCCGAAAGTGATGAAGATCAATAGTAAATGATAGAAGATGGCCAAAACATTAAATATAAATCCACAATCTCAGAAGAATCATAAACCTTGACCGTAGACTTACTTTAAAAATCTTTTAACTCCATCCAATGCAATTACTTAAACCGACCTGCGCAAAAATTGCAATAAAACTTTGCCAAATATTTCATATCAGAGACAAAGCCCCCTCCACCTTTCCCTGCCTTTTCGTGTTGCAGTTTCTGTATTTATTTGCCATTTGCCAGAGACTTGTTTCATATTTATCAACGTCTGTGGCAAATAATTTTATTAACTTTTGCGCAAAACTTCAGCGATGCAGGAGGGTTGTGGGGTTGTCAGGGGGTCAGACAGACTGTGAACTGTTCGCGAAAAGTTGCAGTAGGTACAGTTTCGTCGGGTCTTCGAGGGGCAAGGACTGAAGGACAAAAGGACTCGGACGGACACTGGAGCAGGGACAACTTTGCAGTACTGGCGCAACACTATCTGGAGCGCATATTTTATTATTATCCTTTCGCACAAATAAATATACTTTTGCGCAAATTACAAAAGAGCGCAACTAACTGGTGACTTTAAGTTGGAAAGGCAACTATATCTATGACCGTTACAAAACTCCTCCCTCGAACCCTCCGTGCGACAAAAAAGTTTCGTCCAGATCTAATCAAAAATTCACTTAAAAAGTTTGCACTGCCAGTACGAGAGGCTGAATGACTTCAAGTGCAACCTTGCTGTTGGCTTTGTTGGCATTGTTGCAGCTCCTTTGTTGCACTTTACAGGGCTGCAGGATGGCGGCAGGACTTCCACGGCCGGCACTTAATGAAATCTTCCTTAAAAGAGGGGGGATTGTAGTAAAGTAAATAAAGGCAGGAATGGTATGGAAACACCTGGCAAGGTGGGTGAACTTCAAGGCTTTTCTTCACCGATAACTATAAGTGAAATGGTTATGATTTCCCTTAGTTAAAAATATAAATACTTTAGTATTAAACCTGGTCGTTTTAAGTAACAGTACTCCAGTAAAATCCCTCCCCCAATCAAGTGACTGCTTTCCATTAAAACCCATTTCGATTGCCCGAATGGAGCACTCAAAAGCGCTTAAGTCAAATCCTCAACCACAACAACGACGCCACTTTGAATACAGTGAATACAGTGATTCTACCGGATTCCTTCAATGCAAATTGCTCTGCACAATCAACGACATTCAACGACAATCATCGCCAACAATGCAGCTGCTTGAAAATCATTTAAAATCCTTTAAACTTCGCTGCCACAGCGAGTGAACCAAATGAAGTGTCAATTTTAATATCCCGAATGCATCCCAGAAATAAACCAGAAAATTGAGCAGCCGAAGGAGGAGGAAAGGGAGGAGTCTGCCAATCTCCTGGGCACAACAATAAACCACCACCCCTCCGCATTTTCCGCCATTCCAGCTTTTCCGGCACAAATTGCATAAAAAATTTGGCGCACACTTAAAAAATTTTCAAGTGCAGTGCCAAAGTCACCGGAAGTAGGAGGAGGAGCAGGTGGGCGGCTGTCTGGCAGGATTCTCCTTCATTTTAGTCCCTTTTCTGCTTTTAAATTTGCACAAAATTGCAAATAACTTGCAATCAAGGTGCAAGGAGTGCGGAAAAGGGAGCAGGGGGTCCAAGTAACTTTGGAGTCACAACAAAATGGCGAAGGAACCGAGTTGAGTTTCATTTTGCCGGGAACGTCTGGGAATCAATTTAAGTTAACTCGAGTCTATTGTTTCAGCGCTGTTTGGTTCGCTTTAAGCTCTGCTCTCCACTCCTCTTCTCGGAACAACACCCCCACAGCCCCTAACAATCTCCCACCGAGTCTCCAAAGCTTTTGTCGTCAACTAAGGAATTTTTATGAGCTGCCGTCGTCGTCCTTCCGTCCTTCGGCTTTCCGTCGCGCCAACTTTAGTCCCGACTGCCGCTTGTTAATATTTCACCTAGATTGATACTGCAAAAAAACCGGAGAGCAGGGGTATATAGAATATATAGAGAGGAGGAGCGGATCAGGGATCGGGACATCCCGCCAAGTGGCTTCGTCGTGGGCACAAAGCAGCTAGGAATTTCATTATATGCACCCCGGGCCAAAGGACAAAGACATGTTTTTAATAGTTTCGCATGTTTGTGCAGCAGGCTTTGTTTTTCTTTTTTTTCGCGGGCTCTTTCCTTGTCGGCGGAGGTCCTGAGTTCCGATTGTGTGCAGTATGCGCAAAGTTTGGCCAGATTTTTGCCCTTGCATTTTGAATAGTTGCATTTTTGAGCAGTTCGTGGTGCAGAGCATAAATTTGGAGCCATCTGGAGGGTTAATCGTAATGAGTGAGGGATTGTAACTATTCATGGGAAGCCAAAATATAAATTTAATACACAATGAACACAGATCCATTAATAAATATTAAAAGAAACCTTTATTATAATGTTACCAATCCAAATATAATATCCTGGCAAGCGATCAAAAAATTTAATAATTCCAGGACTAGGATCTAATATTAATTTATTCGCTTAACCCAAAAGTAGGCAGCAAAAAGGTTAACCCTTTTTATCAGACTTTGCCTCAAGAATCTAACCATCTATCGTATTTTGAGAAGGAGAACCTTATTTATGAACACAATTTCGGGGCGTAACTCAATCGAAATCGAAACCTTGTTGCACATCTATTAAGAGCAAATGTCAAAATTAATTGGAACACGTACGCTGGGGTTCACTTGTTGGCTCCCTGCGTTTAACCCTTCCACCGATGTGGCACATTAACTTTCGTTTTCAGCTGGCTTTCCCCCCACTCCTCCGACATATTTTCCTCCTTTCATCCACTATGTTTTTGGGGGGCGTGGCCAGTCTGCGGATACTTTTGCAGCGTCATCGCATGATTACGTCGATTTTGGGGCAGAGTAATCATCTGGTGCACGAACACATACCCCGATCTCAGTCCCAGCAACCCAGTATCCCAGTATCCCATTACCCAGAGAAACCAGGGGAGTTGGTAAGGAGGACCGGACACAATTATCGGGGCCAAAAGGGCTTTCAATTTCACTTGGTTAGCTGCAAGTAAACAGCTTTGCAGCTCCTCCGATTCCAGTTGGCTTTGGGTGGCGCTCAAGTCAAGCATGCGACCACCGCAAGCGGCACGCAAACGCATCAAATCAATGAAAGTGCCCGGCTATCGATGCCTTTCCAGGACTCAGTACTCAGGACTCCCGACTCCGGCTCATTTGACCACGATTTGCACTTCATTGATTCGCCCAAGAACGGAGGCAATTGAGAGCCAAATGGAACAGAGAAAGAAATTCTTTCATTCGAGAAAATATTACTCAGGAATTTACTAAAATTTCCAGAAAGATATTCAAATATCTAATCCGAAATACATTGGGCTCTCTAATAACAGGTTTTCAGAAATAGCTCCTGAATTTAATTTCAAGCTAATACTATTTTCCTCAGTGAGCCAGCAATGTTTCGATCTCGACTTAAAGCATTTTCCATTCGCTTTATTTTCCACCCACTCGGATGCATTGGGTTTATGAAAATGAAAATTGCCAAGAAAATCGAGCAACCAACAAAATTCTTTTGCCCCAGCTCCGTTCATATTTTTGCAGTATTTTCTTTTGGAATTTCGGGCTTCGTAATTGCACTTGTATGAGCTTACTCGATGCGCCCTTTTCCGTCAGAAAGTGCATAGAAATATAGAACCTCCATCGCCCTCCTCCTCCCTCAAATGCGTTTGGATGATTTAATCGGAATACAAATCGCTTATCGGCCCGAAGAGAAGAATCAAAAACAGCTAAGAGAAAGAAAAACAATACTGACAGGCCAGAAAAAAATGATAAGAGAAAAATATCTTAAGTTTAAGTTTTTTTAACAGCAAGATAATGTGTTTATTTACATAAAATATAACTAAGTATTAACAAATATTTAAATACATTCATAATTATCTCATAGTAATTTTTCGTTGACCCAAAGTCGACAATCATTTTTAATGACCCCGAATAAAACAAATTGCGTTTGAAATAAAAAGCAAACAGAAAACATTGATAAGAGTTTGTACTGATAGTTATGTCTAGCGAAAAAATTGAATACTCACTAAGTAAATAACAACGTCTAAGTGCAAAATTCAAGTTCCCTAGCTGAGAACCCAAAAGACAGAAATGAAGGCCAGTAGAATAGCTATAGGAGTTCGATCACTAGATCCATTGCACTGATCTGGCGATTGTTTCTCCCACGCGATCTGAGAAGCCACTCCATATTTCTCCGCAAATCCCTGGACAAAGTCAATCGTCTCCTGGCCAATCTCCCTTTCTCGGGAAAAAAGCTTGAACAGCGGAACAGGGGAGATGCTAGCGTATCCACAGATAAAGGCAAACTTTTCGTAATCCGTTAAGACCAGCTTGTAGGTCACACTGACCGTATCGAACTTGAGATTAAAGACGCCGGCCTGCGTCTCGTTGTCCCAGGGAAAGTCGACGGCTTCCTGGGTGAAGCTCCAATCGTTGTTGACCGTGCTGATGAAGTTTAGATCCAGCGAAAGGGTGTTGTTATCGATCTCAGCAGGAACCGAGACATTCAGACACTCGAGGACCTGTACATTGGGCACTCGACCAGCCTCATACCAATAGCCAGAGAGCTAAAAAAAAGTAAAGGAGCTGACTTGGCTAAGAATATTATTTAAAATTCTAAAAAAAAATATTGTAAAATTCTAAGCTTTCAATATATATAAAAAATAAGTAGACCTTGAGAAAATTGTAATTTTTATACAAAAATGTTTCATATATATTTTTTAAATATTCATTCACTCACTCGTGTCAGGTTAAAATGCATTCCAAAGCTCTCATTCCGGCAGTTAAACTGGTCGAGTCCTTTTGGCAAACTGGGCATTCTCAGGCGACTGGCGGCGACCTTCAGAGGATTTCCAAAGCAGCAGAGGACTACCAAAATAGCGAAAATATATGTTTGAGCCTGCATTTCGATCCGTTCACGGTGCCAACCTCCAGACAACTAAACGTCGCGTCAATCCCTCACAAGCTTTTGCTTCTCCAGTGACGTGCTTATCAGTGGGCTGACTTATTAATGAACACAAATGTTCATGTGGTAAATAGGCATTCGAGTTGCTCTAGGCGGTGACTCACTTCCACTGATACGGATTACACTTCTATCGAACTATCTTATCGATATTTGCACGTGCAAATTTTTATTGGTTTATTTATCTTTTTACTTTGAATTCTGATATTCAATAATGGTGGTTGCAGATTAAAAATTTATGTTTAGTAAGTTCTTTTTTATTTTGTCCACTTTTTTAGAAGGAAATTCCTTAGTTAACTTTTAATTTTATGCATATTGGGTAATAAATTAATATATAAATTTTACTTAATAAATTTTTATATAATTATTTATAGTTTTTCACTGATGAAAAAACACTTCTAGTAGCTTGCCCAAACTGACAAACCACAGAAAAAAGTGATGAAACCCATTAGGGCTCCCAAAGGTGCTTGACCACTGGATCCACCGCACTCTGCAAGCGATTGCTTTTCCCAGTTGATCAGGGATTCATAGCCAGATTGCTCGGCTTGGGTGTTGATCAGTTCGTAGATCTCCTGGCTAACCTCGCGATCTCGGGTGAAGAGCTTGAAGATCGGGATGGCAGAAGAGCTACCGTAGCCACAGAGTACGGCGATGGAAACGTAATCTGTGGTTATCAGCTTATAGGATATACTGCCTGTTGCCAGTTCGAAGATTCCATGCTGGGTGGAGTTAGTCCAAGGAAAGCTTACGACTTCCTTGGTAAGGTTCCAACTATTGTTAAGCCAACGTAGGTCACGTCCAGGTTGAGATTGCTGTTAGAGATTTCAGCAGGAACAGAGACATTCAGACACTCAGTCACCTGAACATTGGGAATTCGCATAGCCTCGTACCAGTAGCCAGCCAGCTGAAAAATAAGAAATATTATTATTTTAATAAAATATCTTGCTTTTTATTCTCACCTCTGTCAGGTTAAATGCGAATCCAATGTCATCGGCCTCACATTTTAAATCTTGTATGTTTTCCGGCAGCCTGGGCAACTTGGTAATACTTCCTTCCACCTGTAGACTTCCACAAAAAAAGAAGGCTATAAAAATAGTTCCAATAATTTGTTGAGCCTGCATTTTGAACCGTTTGCGGCGTTAACTCTAAGATAACTAAACACCGCCTCAATGGCTCCACGGCTTTTTATTCTCTGATGATGTGCCGTGATTTATCATTGAATAAACAGTAAATAACTGCTAGTAAGCTAATAAATATATAAACACTTCGGGTGATAAATACATAAAGAAATGTACCTGCATGAGCTAAATAACTTTTGTTGATATGAATTCCATTCTGTGTATCTTAACGATGTTTGCACTTTGGGAGTTCTTTGAAGTCGTCTTTTTTTTATAGACTACACGAGTATAGGCTTCCTCTTCCTAAGCATATAGAACACGCCTATCTAGGCTGCACATTTTTTAATTGTTTTGAACGCAGGTAAATAAATAAGAATGTTTTGCGAATAATAATTCCGATCTATGGATCAGATATGGTAAAAAAAGAAAGCGGAATAGTTCTAAGGTTACAAATAATGATAGATTTGTCATGTCAATTCAGAAATTCACATTGGGAAAATCGCTTTGCGGACACTGAAACGAAGTCAAAAGTTTGGCGAACTGCTTGTAAAAATCACATGAAATTCGATTGTCGCTTAAAGTGAAATTGCACAATGTTTGCGATGAAATGTTGTCGCAGTAAAACATCGCAGCAGCCTCCCCCTCCCTCTTTTCCTTGCCTCGTTGCAGTTGCACTTCCTCGGCTCTTGCAACTCGTCCTGTTTTCCAGATCCTGGCACTGCTGAACTGACGAAGATAAAAACGCAATCAAACAACAACAAAAATACAAAAAAAATGGCAAAGGGCATCTGTTTGTATTGGTTCCAGTGTGCGAGTGTGAGTAAATGCACTCGAGCACGCGCATCCAAGGAATCCAAAGATATTCTGAAATATACGGAATTTTCCAATACCCTGTATTAAGTAATTTTCTGGGCAGGAAAGTAGTACAAACGGGAATGATTCTTAAGTAATAGCAATATTTATCTCCAAATTGGCTCTATATAAACTGTATATAAATATTATTTTTATTTAATTAAGCTTCCATTTTCATGTTTGCTAAGATAAAACCTTTTTCTCAATGATCGGATTATAAAACTGGTATTCAATTAGCACCCAATTTTATCTGCGATAAGATAAAGAGCCCATTTCAATCGATCAGACAGCTGTTTCGCCGAATCCTTATGTTTAATCAGCTATGGGCGACTTGCTAATCATTATGCAGATAAACCTTTCAGTCATAAAACAGGTGTGACTCAGTAATATTATGTTGAAGGCGTATAATATCAAATTGCTCTTCTTGATAAAAAAGTTTTATTAGTTTGATTGGTAGGCTTGATTATGAAATGAATCATAATGTCTAAAGAATGAAAAATTTAAGTTAATTGCTAAACATATTTAATTTAATATTAATTAATTATTAAATATACTTATCATTTTACAAAATATGTTACATCAACTTAACCCACTCCAAATCTTAGATATGATCAGACAATGTTGTTAACAAACCTTAAGGCTCTATCTATCGTTATAAAATAGATTTATTTACTACCATTTCTATAGATTATTTTACATTATCTACTATTTTTCCGATGTAATACTCCCCATTCTCTATAGGGCAGTTGCAAATGGATAACTCTGCATCGATTGTCGGTGCAGCGCTGCCAAGTTAACTGTGTTAAAGAGTTGTCATTGTGTTGTTTGCACAGTCGTCGTCCGTGTGCGTGGTGTGTGTGATTCTGGGTTGGCTTTTGTAACTGTAAAGATATTGCAGCTGCAACGTGTTGAAGTGGCGCCTCGGTAAAATTGTGTCAAACTGTGATTGCATTTTTGTGACTGACATTCAATTGCTGTGGTGTTTGGCTTTGGCAACTCTCACAGTGTCCTTGTATCCCTGGAAAAGCCGCACCCCCTGATCCATCCGCCCACTTGGTTGGGCAAGGGGGCGTGGTCCGATTTAGGCACTAAAGCTCGTCAGTTTCAGTTGATGGGTAGCATTCCCTCGAGTGTTATGAGAATGTTTCGTGTTAGAGATCACTTATTTAGTTGTTTCCATTGCGACACAGCTCATAACTCCCGGTTAATTATCGAATATCAGGGGGAGCTGCCTGCTAATCCCAGTGACAATCCGAAACCATCCAAACCAGCCACCCCAGATTGGCCAGAGATCCCAATAAAGACCCGAGAGTCGCGCAATTAACTGAGCGACTCGCTAAAAAACTCCCCAATGATGAAAACCCCTTGCCCAGCCCAGGATAAACAAAGCACCTTGTCCTTCCCCGTCCGGATTCTTCAGCTATGATTATTACTTATGATAATTCAACTTGACGGCGCAAAAAGAACTTGACACCACCACCCCATTGAAAACGGGAGGCAGAATGCTGCCAAGACAACAACCGATTTTCGCTGGAGGTTGGGAAAACAACCCCTGAGGGGTGAAAATGTGGGCAAGTGGGTTTTATGTTCCGAACAACAACGACGACGACTGCAATCGAGACTTCCGCTCCTTTGTGGCGGCGATTCCCTGGGCGAACATGAAAAACTCCAACTAAAATGAAACTGTTGCGTATTTTGCATTTGGTTTGAGACTCTACGTCCTCCTCCTTTATTGTTTTTCTGGTTTTCAGGGGTGCGAGTGCGTCGCATTTGCACCTTCAATTAATATACTGGCAGTCTGGGCCCGAGACTGGGACTTCAACCCTCGTCCCCCTGACTTTTGCTCTTTTTGTGATTTATGAGGGTGCGCTGGCAAAACAAAATTAAGCCAGCGGACGAACGACATTTGGCGTCAGCATCTTAGCCGGGCTTTCCCAACCCATCACCCTCTCCACCCCCCTAGATTCTCAGCCACCGCCACAGAGGTTTGAACTTTTAATTAAAAGTCACTTTTGATTTATAATTGGCAAGCGTTTTCAAGCTTTGCATAAACAAAGGGCGAGTGCCTGTTGTCCAGAGTTGACAGCCATCAATGCGAAGGTGTGACCAAACAGAGTTGTCATTTTTCTGGGTGGAAAGAAGATACGATCATTACACTCAAAAATTTTAGAAAATCCCTATGGATTTGCTTTACTGGCGATTTTTCATATTTCTGGAATATTTCTTGAATTTAATAAATTTTGATTAATTTGAAGAACATTTTCTTTACCAGTAGAAAATTTTTTATTTTAAAGAAAAAATCGCCAGTGAAGCAAATCCATAGGCGGATTTCTAAAATTCAGGGCGATTCATTTTCTGAGTGTACACTTTGATCTTTGTGATCTTTAATTATCTGGTAATTACTTTCATTTAAAACTATGCCCATCTAGAAAATTATATTTTTAAAGATTTAAATTGTTTCGATTAAAATAACATAGGATAATAATTTAAATTTGAGTAGAAATATAAATAAAACCAATTTTCTAACTGTAAGCCAAGTTATGAAACTCAAATTCTTCCGGTGGAAAAAGTTGGTTTGAGCATTGTATTTTAGATTGTATCTTTAAAATCGGATTTGAATCTAATAGCAACCGTCAGTCTGAGTGTCCTTCCGAATTTCTCTTCATAAGCAGTATCATATAAGGAGCTCTGCCGAGTCGGCATTCCCCATCAATTAATTCCGGGTGAAGTTCACGGCACAATGGATGCGTAAAAAAGGAAATCCACCACGCATATTGGTAACCCTGACAATCAAACGTTTGTTGCCATATTGTCGCAGACGCACGTGACGCCCAGAAGGATGTACACATAGGATATTTGGCTGGAGGGCTGATAAGGGAGGGGGGTGATGCCTAGTGACGCGTGTCCTGTGCATAATCGGGATTTGCATGCATCAACTGGAACTGTAACGGCATTATGGCCCAAGGAAATACATCATCAAAAGAACCGGACCAGACTTGTCTGGACCATCTTGCAGACGATGCACTGGAAAAAATAGTTGTACTTTAAAAATATTATTTAAAATAATTTAAAACTTACGGAGAATAAGAATTCAGATTATTTTAAGCTTGAAAAAGTCAAATAAAATTAATTTCGAATACAACATTCACTTTAATTTCCCTTGTGTACCTCAAAGAATCGGGAGTCACTGGTAGCAACCACCTTTCTGAAGGATGCGTTGCATGTCCTTTGATGCGTGAACTGTTTGCGGCAAATAAAGTGAGTCCTGGGGTGGGAAGGACGACGACTCATCAGCCTTGACAACCGAAAGTTGCATGCGCTGCACATTGCCCTTAACCAAACCCAAACCGAAACGCGTGTCCTTGTAATAAGCCTAATGCATGGGAAAGCGGAGGGAGGAGGTCACACCAGAGAGCTGACAATATTGGTAATATTTTAAAGTGGACCCAAGCACACGACCCAGACGTCGCTTGTTGTCATAAAGAGACCTTTAATTAAATTCATATTTGGACACACAACATTGCTGATTTATGATCGAGGGGGGAAAGGCAGGGAAAACAGAGGACAGAGGACAGGCCGCGTGTCGTCTGCCATTGAAAAACAATCATGGGAGTCATAATTGTTTATATTGCCTTGCATTAATCTAATTGGATTGCCATGGGAGTCGTTTTCGGGAGCTGAAAAGAGTGATTCCTAAATTCAATTTAATTTATAAGAAAAATTTAGAAAAAAGTATTTTATATACATGGTTCTATCAAATGAACTAACTTAATGAGATCCTCATCTTCATATGAACTACTCACTTCGAATTTACAATAGTATAATAGTACAATTTGCAGTCCCAACGCGAATCGCCTGGGGAAATGCATCGGGTAATCTGCGCCTGACCCGCTGCCAGGACATGATTTCCAGAGGAGCCATTCGAATGGGTTTCCTCGTCCTGTTGCGAACTGAAAGCATCTCCGGCATGTGTTGTTCATATTTGCATAAGCGTCAGCCCCGAGCATATTGCGTCCTCCTCTGATCCTGTGACCCTGCTTCCCTGCTTCCTTCCTGCTCCTGCTGCATCATGGTCATCATTACTCAACTCCTGGGCCCTGAGTAAATACTCGTGGCGGGCACTTTACGACCTGGCCCGGCTGATGGGCGTGGCAGGGCAT